TCAGAGAAAGTGTCATTTTATACTTTCATGTGTTACCTCTTATTAGTTTCCTTTCAGTTGAGTCATCACGAGCCATTAATAGATAATTTCTTTTAAACTAACTAATTTCTCGGTGTTAAAGATGTCTGCGACTCGATACCGAAATTATCTTCGATTCTATCGTCACTCATATATCTCGAGAAATTAAATTTACTTTTCTCGTCCCTTTCTCGAGTCGTGTTTTTAATCACATTCGGGTGCATGCGATGTAAGAGCGCGGAAACGTCACTGTCGATGAATCTGCCTACTCGGAATGGCGCCTGCCTCTCCCGCTAGTGATTTAGAAAGATCCTCGGTAATCTCAGAACGCGTCGGTAATCATCTCGCGCGTAGGAACGAGGGTCGAGGACGCGGAAAGAAATATTCGGCGAAGATTCTCCGGCCGCATCCCCTTCGAATCGTACTTTCCACGTCGGGCGCAGCTATTATCGCGCCGGTGCGGAATGGGCGATAACGGGGTGTCGAAAAATATGTTCCAACTTTTTATCTTGCATCTGAACGAGCACGCGCCTCAGTGCGCAGAACTGGGCGTCCCGTTAATTTGCGAAGTCAAAAACTCACTCCGCGCTTTTTTTTACGACACCGATGCACTTGGTTAGAAAAGAACTCTCTTATAAGAAAAAGAAGTTTCTAACAATTAAATCTTTAATTGGGGGATTTCTTTTAATTAATATGTCCTTTGCATATTTCTTGATACGTTTACTACATGAACTTTGATGTATGAGACGGATTTAAATTATTAAGAACGCAAATATATACGCTTGTTGTAGAAGAACTTCGGGTGTTGCCGAATATTATATTTATAATATTATTACATAATAATATTATATATACATGTAATATTATTCGGATATTATTTAAGAAATACCACTTGGTTTCCGGGAGATAAATCGAAAACTATTCAACGAAACTGAAATCACAGTACTCGTTATATTAAATTGCAATTGAAAGCGTTTCTTGTAACATATCCTTTAGTTTCCATTTGTCTAATTTTAATATAGTATCCATTTTTTGAAGGTAGATTTTGGAAGAGTATTAAGAAATAAATCAGGTAAAATGTTTTTGGTGACAAATGCAATTTTCATACATAAAATGATTGAAATGGAGCATATGGGCGGATAAGATAAAGTTGGCCGGGCTGAAAAATGGGCTGTGGAGACCTCTCGCGGAAACTGTGAAACTAATAATCGGAATACATATTTTATACGTGACCTTTTTACTCTGCGCTATTGGGCAACTGAATCCAGGCAAGATAGCCCTGTTGCTGCATATTTTGAAAAAATACAGTTAAGATCGCAGCGGGCATTAATACACGGAAGAAGGTCGCCTCTATCATGTTTATACAGTCAATCACAATAGTTATCTAAGAACTTCGAAATTCTAAAATATAGGACATCTAGTCCCGGTTTCCCTTAGCCCTCGTTCATAACCTTGCTTTAAGACATAAGCCGTAAGAAATTCATCCATGGTGGATCAACCATGGTTGATTTTTTAGAAGAATAATGGTGGTCAATTTCTTACGGCTTACGTCTTAAAAGTTGTGGACAAGGACTTACACGCTATAAACGTACCAAATGATTTTTCGTAAGTTAAGTTACGTTAAGTTAAGTTAGAGATCAAGTAGCTAATAATTTCACCGCTGCTTGTTTGGCTGCGACACTTATCAAGCTAGAAATCGTGATATTCTTTATTACTCAACTATTCCTTTATACTTGGTTGTATATTTTTTATAAAATTTACGAGTTTTACTCAAGTTATCATCCGATTGACGGATTTTAAATTTAGATGTCAATGTTATTCCACGGGATTGACGTGAATCAATTTCAGATTAAATGGAACCTTACCACGGCAAAGCCTAACAATACGAGAAATGGCTAACGCGAAACGCGAGATGAAGCCGTCGCAAATGAAAAAGAGCCATCGAGAGAAACTGGTTTCGCTTCTTCAAGGGTTGCCCTACGGATGAATCTTATCTTCCGACGAGAGCTGTCAAAGACGAAGCGGCATGACGCTTCCGTCGTGCGGGGAGATAACCGGAAGCCCGATAGGGCCTGCACCAGAAATGAGAAATGTCTTTGCGGTTGCAGAGATTAAAGATTTCGCGGATGAGTGGCTGCCACCTCTTCCATTTCTTCTTTTACATTCCTGACAAACTGACTTTTGGCTCGACAAGTATTTATCAATGCCCGAAAGTTCGCGTCGGGAAACGACACGTTTCATTAAAACGCACGTTAAAGCTACATCTTCTGGAGATTTTATAATTACATTAATTTATGACGTAATTAGTGTTCTATTTTCTAAAAAGTTTGTTATTATTAATTTAGTCAGCCTCTTTCTCGACATTATCTGCGGGCAGAAATGGAAGATCGGTCAGTTAGCTTGATTTCCATCATAATCACGATCTTAATAATTTATAAAGAATATCATACAAACGGACACTGTCGTGATTCGGCGATGAGTGTATCGTAGATTCGCGTCGAGACGCGTCGGTAATAAACAGAGCGAGTAATACGATGTCCCCACGATTAAATCCCGCGGCGTAAAAGCCCACCTTAAACCAGCTGATCCTGGTACAAAGACGACGCAAGGACGGGACGCCTTAATGAAAACTATACGTCCCTAGATTAAGGTGGACGCTGGCCAGCCTTCGGACCTGGTAGATACGACCTGTCTTATGCAACGTGGGGGCGGGTTCTATGATGTCCGGTGTATTAGATGGAAGTTTCGGCCATTAATACCTAATATCATGCCGCCGGCAGTAAATCCTTTGTTGGTCATCTTTGACGGGGACTTAGTGCCGTGCATCAAGAGACCTATCTATCAATCCCGGGTACAATCTAATATTGCATTTTGATTAGCTTATTATGCTTGACGAGTGCAATCCCGATATTACGCTCAAGCTCATGAATTTATGCGAGGTCCTTCATTAAAAATTATCGCCTTATTCTTTTCCGTGAATCTCGAGTGTTCTCTTTATCCAGCGACAACTAAATGCGAGGTTGTTAGTTTGTATTTGGGAACGTTTTAGTTTCTTCTTTTACGATATATCTTCTGTGATTAAGACAAATTCAATTTTCATATCCCCTTCCTTTGTACTCGTTCAATAGACATTCTGAACGACAATCACAGGCAACATCTTTACTTGAGAGGAGCTGCCACATTTACATTTTATTCTTCAGCGGTACACTGTAAAAAATTTTTGTAAAATTACACCTATTATAGTGGGTAATTTTGAGGCCAACTATTATAGATGTAAATTTATACACGTAATTATCGCATAAAAATATATTTATATAGATGAAAGATACATTTTGATACATTATGTAAATTTACAACTATAATACTTGGTCTCATAATTACATGGAATTTTACACAAATTTTTTACAGTGTATATCATTCGACTTCTCTTCAGCTTACACGCGTGGCACAGATCAAGCTCTACGTTTTACGACATAAACGCATAATTGCTCTCGAGTGATAAAGATAAAGTAAGGGTAAACTGAACACCTAACAATCATGAAGAATTGTTATTAACGATGCTATGAAATGAATAAGTATGAATTGTTATTAAACGATGCTATGAAATGGATACTATATAGTCAATGAAATTGAACGGATGGAATCTTCTCTTTCTCTTGCTCCAGTCTTTCTTTCAACTTCCTCCCCCTCTCTCTCTCTCTCTCTCTCTCTCTCTCTCTTTTTCTTCCTCCCCTCTCTCTTTCTGTCTTTCTCATCCCTCTCTTCCTTCTCGCACTCCATTTCCTCGGTTCCGCAGAAGTCTGGGATTATGACCTGGAGTGGGATAGACTCCCGGACTTAAGTCAGGGTTACACAAGGATCGCAGCTATTGTGCCATCGCACAGGTCCCATTGTCTCGAGATAGACGAGTGGATCTGCATATGCTTAGCGCCGGAGTTAAACTTCTCTCTCTCTCTCTCTCTCTCCTTGCCCACTCTCCCCTCTCTTCCTTCCCTCTCTCTCTCTCTCTTTCTCTGTCCCTCTTCTATTCTCTCCTCTCGGCGATCTTCAATACACGCTTCGCGAATCATCCTACCCCCCTCGAATTTGGATCCTGAAACGCCGAAGACTATACCTATTGTCAGCCGGATGTACGGAAATAGTGCTTCAGTCGAAGCCGCCAGACGATTTAAGGTTCTCATGAACCGAGAACCTCCGTGAAGACGTCTTCGATATGCCCGGTTTGCGAATCGAATTAATTAGAGCCACTAATACGACTCACTCCAAAGACACCGTAAAATGTCCCGCGCCTCATAGTCTACAGATTAAGGCTTCTCTGTCTTAGCTGTGGCTATCCTTAATTAGTAGCATAAAAAATCAGAAAACGTATGTAAAATTCTCGCGGAATACATCGAAAATATTCTGAAAACTTTCCTTTTATTCTAACAATTAAGCAATGACCGTAAAATTGACGCGACAAAATAAGAAAAGGTAGGTTGAAAAGAATGGCTGCATGTTAATTTTACGATTATTTATTGATTTTTAGAGCAAACAAGGAAAGTTTTTGAAATATTTTACAAACGTGTTCAATCGATCCCAAGTGTCACTTTATAAATAGATCCTTTTATTTCAATGTATTTCGCAGGAATTTTGATTATGCGTTTTCTCGCTTTTAACATCACTAATCAAAAGTCCCGCCACAAGAGATCAAGAGTCTTAAACAATCGGAATGAGCGAAGGGTGGAATACACGATGCTTATTCAACACCGATAAGCAAAACATTTTTATGCTTTTCAAAATTCGAAATATTTAGCTTTCGAGAAATCCAGAAAGCAGCTACAGATTTTCTAGAAAACAGACAAGCGGAGGGCAATTAGAGCGCATTTATAAAAGGACGCAATCGTTAGCTAATTTACCCGCCGTAAATTCGTCACTCCATTGTTACTCCCGGTAAGAGGATTGTCGAGCACGTTACTTCACGCAAACTCCTTTGTCTGTTGCAGCGAAAAATCTGCCGGTGCATTGTGTGGTGGAGACGATTCACAATATTGTAGAAAGTCATGTAAGCAACAGTCGCGAAAAATGGCGAAGCCCACAGGTGGAGACGGACTCTTACGTTATCATTCCGGTAGCTATGCCCTTTCAGGTAAGATCGATATTTTTACTTCAATTTTTTCGAGTAATTATCGTTATATCTATTCATGTGATACACGATAACTATAGCTGCGCTTCTAACCCAATATTTTTGAGTGTCTTTTATTATTTTAAGAAACCAAACGCCCCCACGATATAATGAAAAACTTATTGCTCAATTAATTTGAAACTTGATGAAAAGTGTAAATGTAACAATAACTAAACGCATTAAATGACTAAACATACTACATTAAATTAAAGAGAAAATTTAAAAATTTGCCTGCAATATTATTTTTTACTATTGATAGAAAGAATATGGCTAAAAATCCAAGAAATGTCTGCAGATCCCTAACAAATTGTCGCGAAAATATTGGAAATAGTGGAAATACATCTTTCGACGAAACCCCGAAAGAGTCAATTTTTGTTGCCGGCAGGACTTGGTGGGCGAGGCGCTCGTTCGTTTAGGGTATTCCAGCGATCTGATACCGAGCGCCCGAGGGAGCATCGTTATACGAAACTGGAAACCCCTGCCGATGGAAAAGGTCGCCGATGGGCCGTTGCTGACGGTGGGGGACATTCTGGCCGAACTGACGTCGGTGGCGACCCTGAAAATTCAGGTGTACAGATCCAGGCCGCCACCCCCCAGTCCAGCCGCTGAAGTTAGAAATAAATTGCTGAGGTTGCTGCTGTTACACAGCCATACGCTACTCGTTTCCGCCGGATGCCCCTTGGACGAGGTATGACTTTGAATCCTACCGCAGTCCTTTGATATGAAAAATGTCAGTTCGCTGTTCGGAAAGAAACGTATGATCTCTAAGCGGGTCTTCACTTCAACTTCTTAGTGATAACGACAAAATTTCACTGAGATTTCGATGCTGTCGGAAGCGAAGGCTGTTCTCCCGCGCGGGAGAAAGAAATATCCGAGTTGTGTCTGCGCGTTTATTTAGATTGGAGGACACGGCTAAGTAACGGCGTGCCGAGAGAATTTAAGGACCATTCAAGGCGAGATCGGGGTAGGGAATACTCGTAGTAAGACGACCGCTTAAAAATGTATAAAATGTAAATCTAGCCAGAGAGTGTTTGTCGTCGCGGTGCTTAATCTCATTAAGAAGTCCTCCGACTCGGTACCCTTGTACCTCCCGCAAGAGCGGCAGTGGTAATCTTCGGTAGATTCTTGCTCGCGGCTCGCTGATCCTCACCTTGAATAAATGCTTCCTTGGTTTCGAACCACCAGTCGAAAAGTCAACGCGCTGGCCGTCTCTTCCATCCCGAATGTTTATTGAGCGATAATTTCCCTCTCCCCCGCTTACATATCTCTTATACATTTCTAAACAATTTTATATATTACACTTGTAATATACATTTTCATATTCGAAGCATATATATTTCTTATCGCGATAATAATTAATCGGAGGAGCCATGGAGATTTATAAAATCTTGAATTTTTATTTTTCATATTTCAAAAGAAGGACATCAAAGCAAAGTGTTGTTTCCTGGAATCGCATATTCTAAGCGAAAACTTTTATCGAAAAAGTATCCCTCTTTTAATGAAGTGGACTGTTAATTGGAAATCTACTATAGATGTTACTTAAACTTTTTTCCCTTTTAAGTTAAGAGGAATATGTTTATTTGAAACGGAATGCTCTCTTACACGCGATACGAAACGCGATAAGCAAGACTTGTATTATAGATAAAATTCTTTATGCAAAATAAATATTATGCAAAAAGAATATTTTGACTTTAAAAGAATTCTCTCGGGGACATATATATTAAAATTAACCAGATAAAGTTTTTTTGTTTTTTTTTACAGAAATCGATTTCACTCATCATTCTTCGTACAAAAGTATTAAGGTGAGATCACCGAAAAATAAATACTTTACGAAATACTTCATTTTTTATTTTGAAAAATATTAAGACAAAATATCAAATATCTTGGAAGATATTTAGTTGTCGATAATTTTATCTCAATATTTTTATATGCAGAATGACTAGAAGAATCGATTTGTGTTAAAAAAAATCATATGATTCTATTAAAAAAAAATCAAAGTTGATGTTGAAATAACTTAGAAAGAAACATTTCATTATCATAACAATATACAGTGTCATCTTATGTTTGCCTCGAAATCTTATAATTTTTTTTTGTCTGAGATATTTTAGAACACAATTCATTTCTTTTATTAGTCTTTAACACTTTATATAGTTCATCCCATATAAGAGCAGAATTCTCCGTTAAGGATGAAATAATATTCTTTTGGGTGCAGCTGACTTCAACGATTGAATTCTTTTGCAAGGTATAACGTCGACGAAAAGTTACTAACGTCGCGCGAATTAGTGGCTTGCCCTCCAGCTCCGACAGAATCAAGAAACGTAATCGCGACTGTCCCGAATAATGCGAAATTTTCTATCGCGATGACTCTCTAAAAGAGAGAAAGACAGAGAGACTTATCCCCGATCTTCTCGATTTTCCCTCCATCCCCCGAAGATTGAAATAGGTGCGCGATTTTTCGGACCGGCCCGCGCAGACGTGCCCTTCCGACAGCGGAAGATCTCATAGCGTATGATAGGATTACCCTTTACTCTACCAAATTCGTAGCCTTCATCAAAAGCCCCCTCGATATCGGTACCGAAGGGGGAGGGCGGGAAGGGTGAAGGGAGAAGGAAGGGGAGAAGAGGTACCCTGCCTCCTCCGGGCCGGCATTATCTAAGTGCACTCTCTTTGAAGATCCCGCCACCCGCCCATCCCCGAACTTTAATGCCGCTCACGGTGGTCTATGATTACCAATTTTCCCCGGCAAACGTTTCCTGCTTGAGTTTCGTAGCCCGTCGGCTAATGGCGAACCGTTGTGATGGAGAACCGACGTCTCTCTCGCGTAGATTTGGACTAATCTGACGATGATGCACGAAGACGTGCCGCCGAGTTTCCCCCTGCCGCTCGCACGGCACTACTCTTTGGCAAACGCGTCTTTCTAACACACACGATCGCGAAATACTTTACGCTCGTAATTTACTGCTGTGAACTCGGAACGGGACTCAGCAGATTTCTCTCAACTAGGTCGACCAGTAATCTGTTGCGCAAAACTGCAGAGAGTATTTTGGCAGTTCGCGCGGAGACACACGAAGGCAGAACACATGTGATTTCCTGGAGAAGTATGGAGCTCGTATTTGTCCACGAAAATATGTAATGGAAAGTTTTGCCACGGCAATAAATACTTCTCAAGGAGCTCGAAATGCATGCGTTAATTGAAATCGACAGTGTAAATCGCGGCCGCGTTACAATCGCAAACGATAAAGAGCTACGAAATCTATTTCTATTCAATTTGAAATACAGAAGATCCATATAACAATACAGGAGTCATGTAACAAGCGTCACCTGGTACATCAGAATTAACGTTTAATCGTATTTTGTAGCGCTGTGTTTCACTTATCTATTACATGTTTTTGTGAATTTCTATTACATACGTCAACAGCTGATTTATATATGTGTGTGTTCCACATGAATATATATTTAAAGAAGAAAACTGAAAAGATTACGCATTTATTTTTATTATGATCTGTATAGCTTTTAGCGACCATATTTTATGATATCCGCACTGCAATTAAGAATTACATAACAACGTGTCAACATATTTATCAAAAAATTTTCTAAGAAAAACCACAAGCAAAGCTATATAATATTAACTATCTGCAGTTTTAAAAATGTCTTTGGAAAGTGCATAATTATATAAAGGTAAAATAAGATAAAAGGTGCCTGGATATTCACCGCGACCATCTTGATTTATGATGTCAGAAGCGAGAAATTATATGCTGAAAATTATATGCTGCACAATACGTAGAAATAAAAAAAATGTATTCACAAAATAGCATTTGCAATCGGGCAAATCCGTAAAATATGTAGTTCGAGAACACTTTCCTCTTTTCATGTAACAATCAATAAGTAATCGTACAACTAAAAAATGACCAGCTTTCCACTAAATCCGGAACACTTCATAAACGTGTGGAGAGAGTGTAAGGGAAATCGCTGAAAATTATATAAATATACATATATGCATTTCGGATTATTTTACGGATTTTTTCTATTCTCAATCGATTGCGTCATTTCACGGGCACATCTTTTTATTTCTAAATATTTCACAGGAAATTTGAACGTCTGTTTTTTCTCTTCTGACATCACCAATCGAGAGTTTCGCGACGAGGAAGCAGGAGACTTAAATGTGTAAACAGGCTACCTGTTCAACCTCACAATTTCAAGACACTTCAAAAAGAAAAGAGAGAAAGAAAAGTATTGAGAGCTGACGTACGCGAATTTTGACATAGAAGAAAAAATACCCGAGGGAGAGAGAAAGAGAGACAGGGGGGAAGAGAGAAAGAAAGAGAAAGAGCCGTCGAAACGATCCGCGCGTCGCCAATCGTCGCGGACTCGTCACCCGCGGATTGTTTGATCAGGGTCTTGTGATCGCGATTGATTTACCACCACGCCACGGATCAGCCGATTGCCGTGCGCGTCACTCTTGAATAATAAATACGTGTAAATCAGGCTCGAATCGCGGCGCAACGTCTTCTCAGATAAGCCGGCCGTCCCGCTTTCGACGGCGTACCAACTGTTTGCCGACCGATTTCTGAAATCTCGCGAGCGCCTGTCAGACTCGCGTCTCGCCTGCCTACCTGGAGTGATTAAGTGCGGTGTCGTAAAACTGAGGCGGATGAGGATTCGAGGAGGTGTCGCGGAGCCGTTGCGGCCGGATAATTGTCGTCTTGCAGTGTCTGACGCTACCAAGGTGCCACGGATACACGCGACGGATTACCGCGTTATTAAAGTGGCGTCGAGCGCCTAATCCTCTAGCCCCGGAGATATTTGTTCGTATAAATCATCGGCCAGATAAGGTGCACGCACCATTTCCTGAGACGCGAAACTTTTCCATAATCTGTCATCTTAATGCCGCGACGACGGTGACGAAAACGACATTAATGGCGACGCCTTGCAACGTCTCCTCCGCCGCTCGCGTCAACAGCCGAACAGAAGAACTGATCTGAGAGGGAGAATTTTAATTCTGCGCAATAAATCGGTTTCGGGAATTTTTCTCCCTTGATTTACGGCGCTCCCTCGGTTCTTGTTTCGAGAACCGAGACCTCGAAGATAACGTGGAAGATAATACAAGGAACCAGACTGCGCTTCTCACTAACTACACGGCTGATAATCTTTCGGCAAATGATCGTTCCACGCGCCTAGATGATGCACAAGTGTGCCAATAATTTAAGCGAATGTGGCGATTCACGACTTGGTAATGGAAATATAAATTCATACAAGATATCGAACGTAACGTCCCCTCGTGTGCAGATAAAACTCGTCAAACTGAACAAAAAGGTCCTCTATCATTTTGCAAATAATTGTGTCGATTTTTGGGTTATTAATTAAAGATTATTAGTAAATAATCGCGCATGATTGTACACCAATCTCCTCTGATTGATAATTCAAAAATTTACGTGGTTATTTGCAAAATGATAGAGAATTTTTATATTCAATTCGACCTAATAAGCGCACAACGAGTCATATCCTGAATCGTACCAATCACCAATGGTTTTTAATTAATAATTAAAAAATCTGCGTATTCATTTACAAAATGGTGGAGGAGTTTCATGTTCAGTTTAATAAGATCTACTTGCACACAAACGGATATGCGAGTTACATTAGACATTGCAAACATCCACGATGCGAAGAAGTAGAGGTATCAATGAAACAGTCGAATCTCGACAGTTCAATTCTTTTAATTCTAAACCTTCTTGCACAATACATTAAGATAAATGTCTTAATGCCCGGACATGTACCTAATTCCGGACACTCTTATTATTTTGAATATTTCTCTAAATATTTCATCTTTCAACGTACACTAAATATAAATATTAAATATATGTATACCAATATGTATGAATTGTACGTTGAAAGTTGAAATATTCATATTCAAATATAAAAATAATAACAATGTCCGGAGAATTGGTACATGTCCGGGCATTGGTACATTTACCTTAAGCCCATCGCACATGAAGTGATATAACTGCATGTAGCATAGCATAAGACTGTATGAATCAATGAGCATCGAGTATTGAGCATCAATATGGCGGGTTAATACTCGATGTTCATTGATCCATACGATCTTATACCATGCATATGCAGCTATGTCATTTCATGTGCGATGGAAAGTCTCGCGCGAAACAGGCTGATCATTCCTTTACATCGTCGGCTAATTGGAAGGAACAGGATCTCTGAAAGAGAAAATAACGCTTTCCTTGCAGATGACCCTGCTATCCCTCTGCCGAGGCGGCAATGATCTCACAGAAGAGACAAAGAGGAACTTCGAGACGTGGTTGCAGCAGCAACAGATAGGTCTCGGGATAAACCCAATAGCACCGACTTCTAACCACCATCATCATCACACGCAGAGCCCGCAACCCGACAGCGGCGGCTCGATCACGCCCGGCAGCGGTCCCATCGGCCCACCGCATCCGGCGCTACTCCAGTATTCGCACAAGACCCGAATGAGGACCAGCTTCGATTCAGAACTCGAGCTGCCGCGTCTTCAGCGTTGGTTCGCTGAGAACCAGCATCCGTCGCGCGAGCAGATACAGCACTACGTCGCGGAATTGAACTCATTGGAGTCGCGCCGTGGCAGGAAGCCGTTGGACGCGAACAACGTCGTATATTGGTTTAAGAACGCGAGAGCGGCGCAGAAGAGAGCCAGCATGAACGGATGCAGCCCGCCTGGGCTCAGCCCGAGGGGTGCCAGCATCGTCAGCGAGGATTGCACTGACGAGGAGGACGACACCAGGCAGCAGGTATGCGCTGCGTTGTGAAAGATCGATTGATCAGTAAATGTAGAATTTCCTTCTGGATTTACAAATATTTGTGAATGCTCAGCAAGACAGATATACGCAAATCTGGCAGCAACTTGTCTTATATCACGCTAAAAAAAAGTTTGGTTGAATTAACCAAATATCTGGTCGAATATGAACGAACCAGAAATTCCGATTGAAATAATTCTGTTTAAGGTAACAAGATTTTTGGTTGACTTAAACAGAATTCGGATTACTTCAATCGGAATTTCTGGTTCGTTCATATTCGACCAGATACTTGGTTAATTCAATCAAATTTTTTTTCCGTATAAAAGTCGTATTCCTTAAGTGCTTCATATAGCACTTATGCTCATAACATAGAATACAGAAATAGGAATGTGAGAGAAATTAGCAGAATTTACTGAAAACGATATACTACGTAAGTGTAACATGAAAATTTACGACTTTTGGTAAATTTGTCGCTACATCAATTTAACAAAAAATTTACATCACTGTATAATATAAATTTAACGATTAATTCAATGTGCTTTCAATAAAATCAGTTCTAGTACTAATCTGAGATCTCTAGGCAATAAGATTAAGGCAGACTAACATTCTAATTGACAATGTTTGTAAAATAATTGTGGCCTTTGATGGATTAAACATTTAAAAAGTCTAACAAGTAATTTCTCCTGTCAAAGTATCTCCTAAAAAATCGTAAAAATTCTAAGAAAAGATTAGTTTACACGTCGACAAAGAATTAACGATATAAAATCCAAAAACGTGCACGAAATTCATATATTCGGTACCTAAAAATATTGGGTCAGTTAAAAAATTTGGTTCAACTTTTTGGTTATAAATAAATTCAATTTTCTCTATATATGTATGTTTCTTCGTCAACGCGCTGGCAACATTCGTACATCTCCATCGTGGAGGTAAACATCAAGACAAATTTTTTTATTGACCCAATATCATAAATTCGTACTTGAACTTTGGGACATGTACATATACATGGACTCCGAATGCCCTATGCTCTGTCGTCTAATAGAATGAAGCTAACATCTAGAAGGAGAGCGAGAATAGAGGGGCTATAGTTTTTTTCCTATTTTGTCACTTTTTTGTTGCGCGTGCATCCATTTCTCGTTTCCATAATATTATAGAGCGCAATAGCACCCCGACTAGACTGGCAAGTAAAATTCTTACTCAAATCTTATTGCACTTTGTCTGAGCAGAAAGAGACAGAGAACAGAGGGGTTGTATATATGAGAGTGAATGAACAACTAAGCCGCTCATATCGTCTAGCTCAAGACGCGAAAAACAAAGTTATTCTTGTTTTTCTCCTGTGTTTATGTTTTTTAGGCTCCCAGCCTAGTTGTTCATTCGCTTGCATCGAACGCGGTTATTCATTCACGACGTAATATCACACGTACTCAGTCAAAACTCGCGCATATCCGCGCTTCACGATAACGCTTCTCGATCTTTGTATTTTAAAAACGAGTCGTGCTCTCTCGCATCTTACTCTTTGTCTTTTCCCTTTCTTTTTCCAACTACAATTTCAAATTTCTTTTTTAAAAATGTTAACCGATAAAGAAAAGATAATGCTGTTTCTTTATCGAAAATTTAGACATATTAGATCATACGAAGAAGTAACTGATCTACACATTCAATGCTGCATATCCTGATCGCAATTTTATTTCTAGATCCATCGTTCAGAAGACAGTGATACGTTTTTACGAAACAGAAACAGTTAAGGACCAAAATCCTTTCAAGCCTCATAACTCTAAATATGCCTAATAAAAAAATATTTTATTATAGGTTTTTGGAAAGCCTTTGAAATAAGCTACAAGAATATGTAATAAAAAGTGGGGGGTCCAATTTAAAAAATTCAATTTGACTTTCGTATGACCTTCGTCCTCCACCCAAAGTCAAATTTTTAGCCATCATTAGGTACATTTTATTAAGCCCTACAACTTTGCTACTTACATATTTTTCGCTATAGTTGATCCTTTTCGAGATATTTGACCGTTTCCGGACTTTTTGCCAACCCTGTATATGTCTATATATATTATTTCTATATATATTATTTATTTATATATATATATATATATATATATATATTATGTATATATATATTATATATATATATATATATATATATATATATATATATATATATATATATATATATTATGTCTATGGTCTCTTTCTACATGTTGACTTCACTTTTCTGGCCGTATGCGAGGTCTATGTATACTACGTCCATGCTTTGGGAGCACAAAAGAACCCTAAAAGAATAAGGACCTCGCGACCGCTGCTTTCAGTCGACGTCGGGGTCACCCTGCCCTCCGAGCAGTCCACCCGTCGGTCCCTTGTCCTTGACTACGAGACCAGAGGACCAACAGCCACCGTCGTCGACCCCCTCCTCGGTGAAGCAGGAGGACGCGAGGGTGTCCTCCGGTTCAGAGGACGACGAGGCGAGGCACACGGGCCCCATCCCGCCGGGATTCTCGCTAGTGCCAAGTCCCATGTTCGGCCACGGCATAATGTACATGTCGCATTATCTGCCGCCGCGCGGGCCAACCGGCTGTCCCACCAGCATGCTGGCCGACGAGAGGAGGAAGAGAAACCGGACGTTCATCGATCCCGTGACGGAAGTGCCGAGACTGGAGTATTGGTTCAAACGCAGCACTCACCCGAGCCACGCGGTACGTATAATCGAGCGTGCAACGTTATCGCGCTAATTTGTCCCTCCTTCGGCGACGGTATTAAACGCGCCATCGCGGGAAATTCCATGCGGCGGATTAATAGCGCGCGGGCGCTTTATTAAAGACACACCGTTAAAGAGACCAGACGTAGACGCACGATTAGTCAATACGAATACACGTCGCGATGAGCCGCCTTGAGATTGCTCGAACGATCTCGCACGTACCGAGGTCGGATAGATCCGACTCTAATCCCCCCACCTGCGTCACGGAAGGTTTGTTGGTCTGAAAGATATTTTACGATCGATCCGTAGCTCATTCTATCGTACACGGAGGAGTTGAACAAGATGCCGTATCGTCAGAAGTTCCCGCGTCTGGAGCCGAAGAACGTGCAATTCTGGTTCAAGAACCGCAGGGCCAAGAACAAGCGGCTGAAGATGGCTCTGTTTGAAGGCGAGTCACCGCAACAGCATCCATATCACGCGGACTAGTTAATTTCATTAAATAACGTTCACTAGAAAAACGCGAGGAACAAACGGCGGATATGCGCGCGCGCGCGTTGGCGCGAGGAAATAAAGGGAAATCGTTAATCGACCTGTTACTCCTTACTACCGTTGATACGCGGCTTTAACGCTTTACGGGCCGCACATTCATTGTAATTATCACGTAATAATTAATATAATTATTATGGACTTTCATGAGAGTGTAAATACGAGATGATGTCGAATAAAAGCTATACATCACAGTCGTATTATTATCAAGTACATTTCCTTCCTAAAAAAAAACGTACGATGTGTGAATCTATGTTATTCAACAACAATGACTGCCTCTTATTACGCAAGCACAGTACTTTAACATTTTCGGGAACCCCAATATCATATAGTTGCAAAGCTACGCCGAGAAAATATTGAGAGTATCGCTTAGCTGAATATAATTGCCGCGACAAGATATTAACATTATTTGCACACTAAAGGTTTGTAGAAACCATAGCACTTTGGAAGTGGCACACTTTTACCGCCTGTTCATACGCATTTGAGCAGAATCCTTAGTGCTGTACGCCACAACCAAACCTTAAGGATCCCTCAACCATGGTATTAGTTCTGCAGACCACAACAGAGAGACAGCAATATTCTTTCGCCTGAGGATACGCTAATTGAACATTACGTATCATAAGAGCTGTGGCTGTGAGAACTGTATAGATGGGCGTATAATAACAGCAACTCTTGATGCAATATCTGTTTAACTTGAATTTACACGTATTTTTTTTTCTAACCATAGAAGATGTGATTGTAACAATATAACAGTTTTTTTCGATTTCTCAGTATTAACCTCTTCGGCGGTGATTTAAAATGACTACGCAACCCAGAATGAGTTATTTTTTCACACAAACATATCTAGATTTCTTTTCTCTCTATTGCTATTTATTAGGAATTTTGAAAAATAGATTATATCTAATTTTCATTTGTATTTGCTATGAGTTAAAAAAGGTACAAGATTTAAATAAATAAAAAAGAATTTAATATTTTAATACAAAACTTCCCGGGCATATCACAAGAGGTTAATTAATCAGAAATTAGTAACACCAGTAAATTTCGACGCAATAAAAATTGATACTACAGTAAATTTTTTCGAAAGTTCCGTGGCAGTCAACATGTTCACAGGTCTTTGCATCGTAGAGTTTCGCGACAGTTGTCTCTCGAAGGGAAAGAGATGCCAAAAGGTAAGCGTCTTAAAAGCAACACGATATTACGCTCAATCGTTTGGTCGTTCGTCTTGCAAGGGGTGAACGCGATAAATTGTCGGTGCACAGTGTTTCGTAGGAGTTTCGTAGGAGCAATAATACATAAACGCGTAAACGGATGTGGGTACGTGTACACAAGCGCACGCAACGATATACTGTCTCCAAGTCTAGCGACGCACAAAGCAACCGCCCCGACCAAAATCTCACAGCTAAGATAAGACAGTGGTGTGTTGTCATCGAGTCAACCCTAACTCAAACGTCACAATAGTCAATGAGTCTTTCTCTAAAAGCGACGCACTATCTGTCTACGGCGCTATTCCAGCGTTTGCATCACTCGCGAGAGTTTCAGGATAGTAAGACCGCGGGTAGAACAAGGCACGACAAGGAGACCTAATAACGAACGAAGCAGAGAAGTTGCGTATTATTATATGAATTAATAAAAGAACGTCTCTCACAAAATCCAGAGACCTCCGGACTTCTCCTTTATATTAAACTCCTTTATATCGAACACGTTAACACCGAATCTTTTCTTACTTCACGCACGTTATAAAAACAAAGTTAAAAGCAAAGTACATTGTCATCGAATCTTCTCTCTTCATCGAATATCTCAACGAGCGCCATCGCTGTAAAACGTGAGCGTTCTCCTGGAGGATTCGTACATGAAGCAAGACGATTAAGGTAAGATCGGGTCCTTACAGTGGCGCGGATTTTCAAGAGCAACGAGCTCGGCGAAATAGAAGACTTTCGCGTTTAAGTATGTAACGAGATGTACAAAGATGATACCGAGAGGATATCGCTGTCATCCATGACGCGCACACAGGACCTGTGTCGTCCTAGCGGGCCCGCCGAGCTCGTCCCGGATTTAATGAGGATAGGCGGATTTGTCCAATTAAAACGTCTTACAAGGATCCATCCGGGTCGGCGCTCATTCGCAAAACATCGAATCTAGACTTTGCCGCAACAGCCGCTTCTTATCCCCGAGCTACTCTACCTGCCTACCGTTATCCCTCTCGTTATCGTTATCGAGCTGCGCCTTCCAAACCGAGTCGAGACTTCGAGCAACGGCAAAGCAGACGATGGGGATTTATGGAAGTTATTCCGCGAACTGTTGGAATTTGCGAACATCGCTCTGGCTCCACCGCGTCTCATCGAACAAAACGCGACTTAGCAACGATGAGCGATTTTGTGTCACGTCGGTTTGTTAAAAGCAATGATTACAGGACGGTCACACGATATTACGATACAATGCACATCATTCCACTTCGATACGTTGTACAAATCGATTTAGTGAATTTTAAGAGAGAATCTGAGACGAGTTGAACTTATAAAATATTCAAATAATATTTAATATTTCTTGATTATTCGAATTTGTAGAAGGATGAGCAAAATAAATTGTATACGGAGAGAATTTTACAATGAAAATATTACTGTAGAATTTTGAAGAAATACCGAAGAATACATCAATACTCTGTAATAATTACCCTTTAATTTGATGTGTGCTGTTTAGAAACTAAAATGTACTATTAAAAAATTTGTTGTTTTTAGCGAAATTTACTATGTTTCTTAGCAAAATAAACTTTATTTTATTAAGGTCAGTCTATTCTTGCACTGCTAGAAACATAATAAGATGGAAAGAAATTTAAATGAAAAAAGATATATTCTCTCTGTATAAATAAATAAATAAATAAATTTATTTATTTTGTATTTATTTATTTATTATCTATTATTTAAATCTGCATAAAGTATATGCATATATATGTACGTATGTATGTTTATAAATCTGCACGAAGTATATTTTTAGTTACGAAACTTCAACAGCTATTTGACGGAAATTTTAGAGAGAGACAAATTTTTTCTTATAAATGCGATAGATATAGAAAATATTTAATATAATATTCCCTTCAGCTACTTTAAACGCATTTCTTGTATAATTATTTCACGAGTAAGATATTCGAGCTGAGCCTCTGCATAAATTAACAAACGAGGCTGAATATCGATTTTTCAATATTGTCATTCTTTGGAATTTCGTTTCTCTGTGCGGCGCGCGCGAGTCCTCAATTCGAAGGAAGTAGAAAGAGACCAAGGTTGGTCGATCGGATAAGAAAATTGCTGCTGCGCCGAAGAGTGCGAAGAATCAAGAGGGAACAGTAAGATAGTATGGGGAAGGAGAGAGGGAGCAACGTCTTATGAAAATCTGAAAGTCAGCAGCCCGGAGGATCATCCCTCTATCTGATCTTAATTTGTCAGAGTGCGCGCAGACAATTTAAACCACACCAGCCGTACTAAATCGTTATGAAAAATGGTCGATTTGGTTAAGATTGGCTTCACACTGTCACACACACGCACACATACATCGACACTTGTAATAATAAAATTTCTACTACGGAAAAATGTTGCGTCCGCGCACGCAATATAATAGAGTTATGATGACGTGACGATTTATGTGCTAATTGTCACGATTCAAATCAACTCACATTGATCTTATCAACACGACTAAGCAATTCGAAAAAGTAATTAAAATTTAATCTCATTAAACTACACACACACGCGCATTCGTGAGTCGCTCATCGATAGAAATGGCTAATGGTTTCCGTTCAATAAGACGCGAATAAATTCCGATTAGTGAACTGCACGAGCTGGTGATGATCGACAAATTGCGAGCGCTCGAAGAGGATCTAGGATCACCGAACGCAACGCGCTGCAATGTGCGGTAGACATTGGCTCCTGCATTCCCGCGCGATCATGCACGCGAAAAGTATCCGCGAGACGTGGGTACACGTCGCTTTAAAGGAGCATTGTGTGTGCTTTGGCATTCAGAGGCCGTTCTTATCTGCCTATCCGGAGAGCTGTCAGCAAAGTTCCTGAATAATAACGGAGAGCTCGTGGAAGAGAGAAAGAGAGAGAGAGAGAGAGAGAGAGGGAGAGGGAGGGAAGGAGGAGAGAGAGTTGTAGGAAGAGAAGAAAGACAGAGAATGAGAGAGAGAAGGAGACAGAGAGTGGGAGCTGCGCGGTCTCCTATCAGCTCACTGCTAGGATATGCCTAACTATTCTGTTTCCATACGACTGCCGGACGTTTCGCCATAGATAATGTTGGCCAGGATGGTGAGATTGTTGGATGCTATTGATAAGAACCGAAAATGCTCTCACCGCCGTTGAATCGGATTGTAACGATTGAACATAACGAATTGACTGCGTAAAAACATTCTAGCCGTTACTTATTGCTTTCATAACTGTAAACGCAAACGTGATATATTTCGCGGCGTAACTTTTTCTGCACGATTTTTAAAGCACACGATACAGATACAGAAGAATAACCATATAAGAAGAAGAAAGAGGAAAAATAACTTGTAACTTTGAAGTGCTACTATTTTGTTAAAGTTTTTCCTTCTGTAATTTTCTATAACAAAGCTTTGTATCTCAGTAAATTTAACCTAGTTTTTGCATCTTATTATGCCATTTCTTTCAAATTATTATGCAAGTTGTTGCCTGCTAAAGACGTCCGGCGTCATTGCTTCCAGCATAAATATAATAAACTGGGCGGAATTTAAATTCGTAAATAACTTTTGTTTATTTAAAACAATGATACATAGTAAAATGGTGAAAACTTTATATATTGGTATCTTTATTTACTTCTTTAGAAAAAATTCATATAGATATTTTATCTTTTCGACTATCTAAATCAGAAATTCCCCTTAAAGTTGTCTTCGTGATATGCGTATTGTGTGAGGAATAAGTTAATCCTTATACACATTTTTTATACAATTTTATACTTTTATAGAATTTGAACTGTGTACTTGGAAAATCAACTTACAGACTTGACTACAAGCTGAAATACAAGTCGAAGATATAAAAATGCGATTTACGCCAAAATTTCCTGAACACTGTCAATGTCTGCAAATAAGAATTCTGCAACTGCAACCAAGATATAGATAAGACGTAACGAGGAGAAGAACCTCTTCTTCGAAAGAAACAACGGTAAAACAACAGTAAAATAGTTCGAAGGA